TTTGTCCAGTGATACATTCCAAAAGGGAAACACATTTGTTTGGATATAAACAATAAAGAATGGTGTATGGAAAGTGATATGTCCCTATGGATGTTTTCTCACAGGACTGTAATTCTGCACCAAATCTCTGAAGAGTTGTGTCACCACTGTACTTAAGGAGATAACAACAATAACCATTAAAACTGAAGTATTGCCATCAATTGTTAGGCTGTTGTTCCTGTTTTGACCTGTTATGCTCTTTCAAGACCATAGATGGTTTCTTTTCCTTCAACCTTTCTTGTATTCTACTGTCTAAATATTTAAATAGGAAGCATATTGATTACGATAACATGGATGTCCTTATGAGTCCCATTCATGACACTTCTACTATTTATGAAAAAGTACTTGTTAGCCCAACATTTTAATTTCTCTCCCACCAAGATGTTAATTGTTTTACTCCTGCTCTCCTGCTGGTGTAAAAAAGTAAATACTATTATCCATGCTTATTACTTGTAAAGAATCCATTAAATTAGCATCACATCCCTTTTTGCAGGTATTTCAGATTTTTGCTGCGGTTGGTTATTGCTGTTGACCTTGCTCTTTTTGCAAATGTGCTTTAGACAGTCAAACCCCAACTGCATTTCTCAGCAGGGATTTGTCTCTTCATTTTTTGTATTATGTTAAATGTGAGACTCCCAACTCTACTGTTTCTGTTGTTTCTATAGCAACTAGATAGATGGAGACGCAGCAGCATCGCTTTGCTTCCCAGCTGGTGTTTTGTGTTCTTAGCAAGGGGTGAGTTTGAAGAAAATAGTGAGGGTATTAATTGGGCTGTAACTGGCTCAGAAGTGTAGTCCTTGTTGAGGTACCTCACCCTTTATTAAGGAGTCAGTTAATAATTTTAATCAGGGTTTCTCAAACTTTCTTGAATAAAATTCGGTCCTCTCAGAAAGAGATGTGATTTACTCTAAGTATGTGTCAAGTTTTCGTCTCTTAGCTACTTGGGCCTTCATGTTTTCTTCCACCTAACCCCGTTTTCTTCATCACGTGGACAGCAGTGAGATTTGTTTCAGGAACTAGAGTGGTGCTTATAACTTGCATGTAGCCTGAACATACATGAGGTACGGGGCTTTTTAATTTCTCTGATTCCCACTTTTTAATCTGATTTTTGCAGCTGTCCAGTAACTATATTATACTAGACTGTAATTCTGTTGTAGACTATTAAGTGACTATCTCAGAGTAAAATGTTTTAATACTTAAAATCCTACATATCCAGAGATGAGACTGGCTCGTTCTCCCTTCTCCAAAAAGCAGAAGTTGTTTGTATTCCCTTTAGCAGTCCTCTCACTTACCTCATGATGTAAACATTCATTACCTACTTTCCTGAAGATCTCTGACGCCAAATTAATCCCTCTGAAATAACCCGAAGTCTTTCCTCCATACCTGAGCACCTGAAGTTCTGCTACTCTGCCTTGGTGCCACTTTTTTAGCCAAGCACCCCTGCTCTGTGGGAGTTGGGTTGCTCTCAGCATGGCTTGTGTACAGTGAAGACTCTGGGGGTGTGAGGACTTGTTAAACACTTGAGGACAGTGTTTAAGCCATTATTGTATAAAACAACCATGAAACACATGACCTATGTCTTAAGCTCCTCTGAAGCTGTTTATTAAATAAAAATTTGTGGGTCTAGAAGCTGGATATATTTTGTCTCATCTCAGAAAGATGAGTCCTACCAGGTTAGTGTTACTCTTTGACTGGTTCAGCATACATACAGTTAAAAATGCTTCCCTAACCAGAACACATCTGATTAGCAAGAAGAACTTGGAAAGTTTTCCTTTTTTTAGTAGCTGATAACCAAGCAGTAATTTGCTTATGTGGGAAATAAGAAGCAAGTTCAGGTGTGTTCTCCTTCTGACTTAAAGGAACAAGTTTGAACCAAGACTTTGCACCTCACAGGAAGCTGCCACGGTGCGAGCAGTTACTGAGACAGTGGTCTGCAGGTCAGTGGGGATCCTGCAGGCATCGGGATGCCATCCATGAAATGCCTGTCATCTCCACGTTGGTGGTGGTGCCTCAGGAGAAACACTTGCTCTTTTGGAAATAAGACTAAGTTTTCAATTGTTTCACACTTTATCCCTTCCCTGTTTTCCCTTTCTGTGCCCCACCCCCAACACTCTCAGATAGAGAGATTCACAAGAGCTAATGGGTATGTAGTCTGGTAAGCTTATAAATCAGTGTGCTGCTTTGCTGGCTGCCGGAGCAGGGCTCTGATCCTCAGTGGATTAAATATGAGTATAGATTTAAATTTTAAATGGAACAACATCTCTTCAAAACATTCTGGCTTAAAAATCCATAAATGGACAAGCTCCTCTCTTCCATAGATTCTAACCTAGTGTATACCCTGTACATATATATATGTATATATATAGGGCCCCTAAGTTGCTTAGGTGCTTGGGTTGTCTTTCTGAGGCTGAGGGAGCTGGGACTGTTCAGCCTCAAGAAGAGAGGGCTCAGGGAGGTATCTTACCAATGTGTATACATACCTCTTAAGTGGGAGTAAAGAAAACTGAGCCAGACTCTTCTCAGTGCTATCCAGTGACAGGACAAGAGGCAATGGGCATAAATTAAATGTACAAAGAAACCTTTTTTATTATGAGGGTGATCAAACACTTCTAGAGGTTTCACAGAGAGGCTGCGGAGTCTTCATCCCTGGAGATGTTTAAAACCCAACTGGACTCAGGCCTGAGCAATCTGCTGTGTTGACCTTGCTTTGAGCAGGGGGGCTGGTCTTGATGATCTCCAGAGGTGCTTTCCAACCTGAACTATTTTTCAGTTCTTCAATGAAAACTGTGATGTATGTCAGCAGATAAAATAGTACTTCTTCTATGAAGAAATTGCTTCTTCAAGAATCTTGTAATATTATAGGTACAATGTGAATCTTACGAGATGTTTTGTTTTGAGAATCCTGTTGTTTTTGCTTAGATTTTAAATTTTTTCTTCCGACATCTCCTGGCATTATACAGTTTATCTCTTAGAGCATAATTTTTCTTTAGGAAAAAAAACTAACCTAGAAATCAGTGCAGTAACTACATTTTTATCAGCTCTATTCATGTGATGAATAAGTGCATTTTATAGTGCCTAAAATCCAATCCTGAATGTAAAAGTCTTTTGAAGCAGTTTTGATTCATACTCAATTGTCAATCAAGGTTGCTAGGCAGGATTTTAGGGAAGAATTCTGACAAGGAAACTGGAATTTTGCTATCTTGGTTGGGACAATTTTAGCTCTGTGATTTCTAACAGAGGTAAAGTGCGGTGCGAACTTAGCACTTGCACGCTTCCCTTGCTGCCTGGTTTCTGAATATGCAGAATGGGATTGTTCTGTTCTCCAGAATATTCAATTCAGCGTAATACATAAATGTAAACTCAGAGTTTGACCAGTTGCCTTGAAGTGTTGATTTCATTACCATTAAGTATTGCCTAAGAGCAAGCATCATCTTTATCTTTCCTAGATTTACTGGTGAGCATTTACTCAGGATCAATTAAAATAGCTATTGCATTCTCCAGGAAGGGAGTGCATATTACCTCTTGAAGGGTTCCAAAAATATGTTGGGGAATGAGAAGTCAGAGATGGTGTTGAGAATTATCCTGAGATGAAAAAAAGGAGTGAAAGAGGCAATGGCATCTGGAGTAGGGTTGGAAAGAGAGGCTGTGGAACCAGGGTAGAATCATCATAGAATCTTTGGGTTGAAAGGGACCTTTAAAGGTCATCTAGTTCAACCTCCCTGTGATGAGCAGGGTCATCTTCAACTAGAGCAGGTTAGAAGAAGCAATGTCCAGCACTGGGGGTGAGGTGGGAAGGCAGAACAGCTTCCTGGGGGGGGAGGAGAAAAAACAGGTGAAGTAGTGGGTTTTTTTTTTTGTTTGGTTTGTTTTTTCAGAAAAGCTAGGGGTTTGCAATGTTGAGACAAATTTGTAACCCTAGTTTGAGTGTCTCCTTTCAGGTAAATAGTGGCAAGCGTTAGAAGCTGAGAAATTAATTGAAATTCTGATGTTGGCTTTCTGGACATCCCTTTCAGATTCTTGAACAAATTCTTCTCAAGCAGACTTTTTCAGGCATTAGGGATTTTAAACATAGTTAAAGTTCAAATGAACCTTCAGAAATTCTGCTTTAAAACTTTGTTATGCATCCTTCAAATCACTTAATGTTTTCCATCTTGTTTACTTCTTTACAGCTGTTAAGACAATAGGGGAAATGCTTCCAAGGAATGACTATTGATGTCTGAGGGAACCTAGATCCTAATTGCAGAACAATTGCTGTGATGCCATGTGCAGATTTTATATGGCGTTCGCAAGCGACTGGTTACGGACAACTGCAGATTGCATAAAATGCCTATAAAGGTTTTGCTCTACTTGTAAAGCTTCTGTCTACGCTGTCAAAAGTTTGTGGACGTAGCTGTTGCTGTATAGTCCTGTTTTAAGTGAATTCTCATAGCATGAAATGAACTTACTTTGGGAAAAGCATTTTTTTCCACAATGTGATTTTTATCATACATTAAAACCAAGAAGAGCTCTAAAAATGTAGCTATATATGATGAAAAAACATCTCTCATCTACGCATTTGCATACCATGATTTGGCATAATTTTCAGTAAGTTATACTAGCAGGAGTAGTTCTTGACAGATTATCGATGTGTAGCATAAATGTTATCCTGGTATAAAATTTTCCTGTAGAAGAAAATCTCGCCAATGAACGTGATTCTTCTGGTAAAAATGGAAATGAAATTTAAGGAAAGATTGCATTTCTTACTATGAAATGTCAAAGTACTTTACTATTATTCTAACTGTAAAATTGGTAACTAGGGTTAAAAACTAAATGTCAGCGAAACAGGAAGGTATGGTAATTTTAGACTTAGAAGGGTATTTGCAGAAAAGTTTGCATTATGAAATAAATATACATATTTTTATTAGTCTTGGAGATAATCATCAAAGGCTGGTCAACTAAATATTCTGCTTTTTGTTTTCCAGAAACCAGCAAACATTCTGGTAATGGGTGAAGGTCCCGAAAGAGGAAGAGTCAAAATAGGTAAACATTTTGAGAAAATTTTATAGCACAGCTAAGGAATTACTTTTTTTAAAAAAAAAGCATCTTCAGTGTGAGATAGAAACAAATCTTCATGTATGTGTATGCATGCACATCATCTAGTTCAATTTTAAATCTTACTTACTGAGTTTACAAGCTAAAGCGAAAAATAATAAGCACATAAAACAATGACTGTGGCCAGGGTTCTTTTGACTTCAACTATGATTACTTAGTGTAACATTGTTACTTATAAATTGTATTTGTTCTTAATTATTTTTATATAAATAACATCAATGCACATGTTTGTAGAGGTCCAAAGGTTTGCTATGCAAAAAGCTATTTGGTGTCAAGGTGGGAAACACATGTAACTGAGATGGTCTTTATCCAAAATCTAATTAGCTCTGCAGATCATAAGCCTTAGTCATGTGGATATAAACTTTTTTTAATAAAACATGTGGCAATCATCAGGAAAGAAATAATACACTGGAACTTCTTCTCTAGTCAATCAACACTTGTATTTGAAAATGTTCAGCTAATCATTTTTTGTTTCATATGCTTATATTAGTATGGATAACTGCAAGAAGATTATACTTGGCATTTCATAACTTTGGAAGCAGAAAGATTTAGATGAAGTTGTATAAAAGATAAGTTTCAGACTTGGGTTCAAATGTGTCATTTTGAATATACACCCTAATTTTTTACTTTCCCGTCTAGCATTTCTTAATGTTACTTACAAGGTTGTTTCTAGAGAGAATTTTTGAGTTATATAAAATGAATGCTTACATTTAAAAGATACCTCTGTAACAGTATACACTCATTGATTTCATTAATTCCTGGTTAAAAACTTATTCCTGATTCTGGAGTTCATTCGTCCAAATCAAGTAGGAGGCATACCTTTAAAAACAGTGCAAAGCAATCTACACTGCAGTCCTTTCGGTTTTGCACTTTGGGTAAATATATAGCAGTCACAAGGGCTCACAGTTTTGTAAACGTATAGAAAAATAAATGTACCTTAGAGACCTGCTATTATTGACTTTAGTTAACCGGGCTTCTGTTATAGTTCTATTTAAATAAACAGGCATCTGTGTTATGTAAAGTTTTACAATACCATGATGAAAACACTTAAATGTCATCCTTCGTAGTCTTATAAATGAAGTAAATGGAATTTAGCCTTAGAAAAATTTGTCCCAATATTGTTATGAGTTACTTGTTGCTTTCTTAGAAACTTTGATTTGTAAGTTTTAATTTTTTTTAGCTTTTGTTATAATTGTTTTTTGGCAATACTGTTAAATTTTTATTTATTTGTATTAAAATTTTAAATGTTCTTTTCATTTTGTGTTTTTTTTTCTTGCTTCCTCACCCCCTCCCCTCCCCCAGCTGATATGGGTTTTGCAAGATTGTTCAACTCGCCTTTGAAGCCATTGGCAGACTTGGATCCAGTTGTGGTGACATTCTGGTACAGAGCTCCAGAGCTGTTACTTGGAGCCAGACATTACACAAAGGCCATTGGTAAGTTCTCATGTAAGAAAGAGGTTTACCCTTAAGTTTTATAAAGGAGGGTAGCCTTATAATAGATATAATGATCAACTGACGAGCTAGGTTTTTTTTTCCTGAAGTGGCAGCAGATGGAGTATGATCCAATCCATAAAAGATTAATTCAGATTGAAACTTTCTGAGGACTGTGCTTTTATTTTTACATATGAGTTAAGGTTAACGTTAGACATTTTAAATGTGTTACCTGTTTTGTTTTTAAAATAAAAATGTTCTTTGCATTGGTTTATAGGGTTTTCTGATATGGGGTCAGAAATCTTGTAATCTTATAAATCTTCAAAAAGGAAAGAACTATGGCGGTTAGTGGTGTTCTTCTAGGATGCTTCATGTCCAGATGCTTCTATAAAGTATTTGGCTTGATAAGGAGAAGGGCGGTCTCCTGCACTGTGTGCAATCTGCAGATCATTCACTCCTGATGACTTCCCAAGAGCTGTGTTCAGGAAGTACTGGTGGCCAGGCTCTTGTCTTCTTTCCCCCTTAGTTCGATAAGCACCATCAGCCTTGGTGCCTTGCTCTTTAGAGAACAAAAACACTGAGATGCACAGGAGGTATCCTGTCCACATGATTAGGTTATATATTGAAGAGAACTGCAAAGGAGACAGTGTCCCTCTGTTAAACAGGGTTAAATCGTTCCTGTGTGTGCAGAGGGGGCTTTCTTGGCAGTTGCAGGCATTTTCCTGTTACAAAAATTTTCAGAGATGCTATGTGGGCCTTTGTTCAGAGACTTACAAAACACCGTGTTATACTAGCATCTCAGTTGAACATTCAGTCGAGTGGACCAACACTTTTAAATAAATCTTACAATCTGGATTTCTCATGTAACTCCTGTTTATCAAACTATCATATGCAGCAAAAGGTTTGAAAAACGGATGAACTGTCACCTGACTTCTTTGATGTGGACTTGCACTTCACATTTCTTTATTGCTGTCCTTATTGCTGTCCTCTCCCATTTGGAATCCTCTAGTGCAGGAGGACCTAAGCTGGGCAAAATGCTGCACTGTGTGTTGATCTTGCCTTGAATGTGCAGGAACTGTTAAGAAGAGCAAAGACCTCTGCATAGCTCTAGTGAGGATATGTGTGTTTAGTCTTGCAGGCAGGTGACGTGCATTTCCATCCTTGGACAAAGTTTGTCAGCATCAAAAAGCCAAAAAGTTGGGGTTTATATGCTCGTGTTCCTTTTCATCTGCTGAAATGGAATAACATAGCTCTTCAGATGGCAACGTCGACATTAGGAAGTACTGTGACACAATGGAAGTGCATCTGTGAAGCAAAATGGTACTGAGTACCTAGCATCCACATTATACGTGTTTTGGAGAAAGTGGAGTGCTTTCTCTGGCCTGGTCCAGTAGACCATTAGTGGCTGACGCACACCTTTTGGTTTAATTTCGTCCCAAAGGAATTTATTTTGTGTACTCTGAGAGAACTCTGCAGCGCAAGCTGAAGTGTCATAGGTGTGGATAATCTGATCCATTTCAAAAGCAAACTCCTCGTCCAAAGTAAAATACTAATTGCACATAGATTCAGTCAGGTCGAAAGGGACCTTAGGAGGTCTCTCGTCCACCTTCCCATTGAAAACAGGGTCCACTCTGAATTCAGACCAGTCTGCTGAGGGGTTTTGTCCAGCCAGGTCTTGAAAACCTCTAAGAACAAAGATTGCACACCCTCTGACCTGTTCCAGTGCTAAATCATCCTCAAAGTGAAGAATTTTTTCCTTACACCTAGTCAGAACTTCTTGTTTCGGTTTATGCCTGTATCTCTCATTCTGCTGTCATATACCACTGTAAGGAGCCTGGCTCCATCATCTTGGTCACCTCTCCATAGGTACAGGGGGCTGCTCATAGATTCCTCTTCAATCTCAACGAGACTGTGTCACTCAGCCTCTTCTCCCATAGCAGGTTCTCCAGCCTCTGACCATCCTGCTGGCTCTCCACTGAACTTGCTCCAGGTTATCAAAGTCTGTCTTGTCTTCAGGTCCCCAAACTGGCCCAAATGTAGTCCAACAAGTGTTAAGTAAAGGGGAGTACTCACTTTTCTCAAATCTACTGGGTATACTCCTGTTGATACAGCCAGTATATCCTGTTGATGCTGTTAGTCTTCACCAGGGTACAGTGCTGGTTCATGTTTCACCTGATGTCCACCAGAACCCCCCACAACCTTTTCTGCAAACATGTTCTCCAGCCAGCCAGTCCCCCACCTGAACCATTGTAGGGGATTAGTCCATCATAGGTCCTGAACTTTATATTTGTCCTCTTTGAATTTCATTAGTTTCCTGTGGCCCATTCCTCCTGTTTAGTTCCCTCTGAATGCTCTACCCCTCAAGCATATCAACCATTTTCTCAGTTTTCGCTCTCCCACAACCTGATAGGGGGCTGTTCCACCTCATTCTCCTTGGCATTGGTAAAGATACTAAGTTGAATACGTCTCGTAACCCTCTGTGGTACTTCTCTTGTCATCAGCCTCCAGGTTAGAGTGTAAACCGTTAACTGCCATCCCCAGATCTTGATCCAGCCAGTTTCTCCTGAAGCCCAGGGCCTGTATTCTGCTACTTGCCTTCACTACTCCACTTCATGGATATTTCAGCCAAGGCTGCCATTATCACATCCCCAACAAGTTCTTCCTCCTTCCCAAGTAGCAGATCTGAGAGATGACACATGTATCTGCATGAAGAAATTTACCCCAACATCCTCCAGAAACCTTTGCAAGGTCCCTGAGGTGACCCTGCGCATGTCCTGTTTTGTTCTCCGTGATGCTACAGAGTCTGTTCACCTCCTCCCACAGCTCCTTTTGCTGGTGACTCGGTGCCCCAACCAGAGTGTATCTCCCACAGTGAGGCCAGCGCCACCCTGCAGACAGAGTCCTGGGTGGCAGCACCCTCCCTCTGGAGCTCGGTCTCAGTTGAGGCCTCTGACTTCCCAGGGTACCTTCTCCAGTGGGTGCCGGAGATGGAGCCTTGTAGCGCTGCCCCCATGGTTGTGGCACAATCCCATGTTGTTTGACTCTTAGGGCCTGCTTTGCATCTGCCACCATGCAAACTGGACTGCTAACTTCTGAGGTCTCTGTTTACTGTACCTGTAGTGGGTGAAACCAGTTACTAGAAGTGTTTAAAGAAAATACCAACAGGATTACCTTAAATGCCTGTAAGTTAGATGCTTAAACTTCCCTGACTATGTTGATTTTCTGAAACACTGATGTGAATGGACCAGATAACTGTTGTGACCTGTGTGCATGGTACTGGGGAGTTACCTTAGCTGACAGTTACCTGTTTTTGATCGATAGCATATTGTTTGTAGATTTAGGTGAGTGATATGTACCATTATCTCAGGATATCTCTTTGAAGAATGAATTAGTATAATGCCATTGTTTTTTTAATTACATCATAAATTACTTGGCTCTTGCCCCGAGGGATCTGTACTCTATACTAAAACACAGACAAGGAGTCCCTATAAAACTTCAGAGGATGATGCTACTTCAGAGAGATCTGGTTTTGCTAGTAGTTTATTATTTCTGAGGCTTTTCTGTCTTGTGAATCAGACCCCCACCAGCGAATCCCCAGGAGGGGTGCGAATGGGTCGTGTAATACCTGGCATGCAGTGTGAGTGCTGAGGGCACTCAAAATGGTTTGGGCAGCAAAGTGAAAAATAGGGAAATGAAACCAAGGAAAGTTGCAAGGTGAGATTTGTAGGCTGACTGAAGGCTTAGAGGAGCGTGTGTCTGAAGAGAAGAGAATGGAGGTACACGGAGGTGATCTATGTGCAGCTTTAAGGCACAGGGAAGAAATGGGTAACAAAATGACAGGGGTGATGTTCACGCAGTTTATGAGTCCAGACTTGTGTTCTGCTTCTAGCATTATGTACACTTAAAAAAAGGCAATCTTAATGAGCTAAGCACCCTAGTGAGAGTTTAACTTGAATGCTAATGTGTTTGGCAAAGGATGCAACTCTTCGAGCTCTCTTAAATTTCTGTGCGAAAATAGAATTTTAACATCTCTTAATATTACATAATTCTCAGGAGACCTAATGTATTGCTTTTAGTAGTAACTCATAAATTATATAAGATTCTTATTTAACTGCTTTTCATTTGGAAATAATGATTTAGAAGAAAGGTGATTAGATATAGCATTTATAAAAAAGGAAATTACAAGTTATTTGGTATAGCTGCTTATTTTCTGTAGCTATTGTCTTATGCCTTTTATATAATATAATTTTTTATAATTAGTAAACATAAATTAAATCAGGCTAAAAGCAATGTCATGCCAGTTTTAGTCTATTCTTCCAATTTTGTCATTGTGAGAAATATTTTTGTTTGAATTTACTAGGAATGCATTGTCATCAGTTCTTTACTGCAACATGCTAAACATTGACCAACAGTTGCTACATAATTCGGATGTTTGCTTATGTTCTCACTGGCTTAGTCTTCATTTTATTTTAAATATATTTTCTGTATTCTGTATCTAATACTCCTTCTTTATCTTAGCTCCAAATATAATTTTAATTATTAGCAATATATTTATAATATCCTGGACACTGTCTACTATAGTGTCCAATTTGTTTTTGTTCTTGTAATGAAGCCTTTAGGTATGCTTGCTTGCGTGTAAATAATTCTTATACATGATCAAAGAATTAAATTGGAATTCCACTTTTGTCTCATTTGGGTTTTTTGTCTTTGTTTTCTTGACCTGATCTCAGTTACATTTTGTGGGTTTAACTTTGGGGAAAAATTGGACTGAGTACAGTCTGTTTAGGAAGAACTATGTATTACACAAAACAATATATAAGTATATTTCATTATTTTAGAGGTAGTTTTTTAGTGACATTTCCCCCTTTATTTAATTTATCCCTTCATACTAATGAAATATTCTGCTTTTTATTTATTTGCCTGCAGAACAAGTAGTTAGTTGTTCATCACATATATAAACATGTTTCAAGGAGATACAGGAGTCAGGAAATACTGTTGCTGAA